CGGCCCTACGGGACCTACCCACAAACGAGGAGTCGCAGCCCTCGACCTCAAAGGTGCACGAAGCCAACTGGATAGGAATGATCTAGACCGTAGACTCTGCCTCGGAAAAACCCGAGGTATTCCTCCGAGCCTATCCTATAACCTGGAAAAGCGTTGAGTGTGACTGCGAGGTCTGGGGAAATCCCTCGGCCGCCATCCTAGACTCGGGATCGTCAGCGGTCGCCATTTCTTGGAGATTGACGAAACAGTTGGGAAGGGAAGGACAGGTTCGGCCCCTCCGACCGGATGAACTGTATATATCCGCTACGGAAGACAGTATTCATTGCAAAGGGCGAATAACGAACGTGCCTATACGGGTGGGGCGGGTGCATTGTTTGTGCGACGTAATCGTGCTGGATGTACAGGCGTACGATGTTCTGCTAGGCATTCCGTGGCAGGCGGCGGTCGGAGCGCGAATGCACTTTGACAGCTGTAAGGTGGTGCTCACATCGGCCCACCCCAAACCCCAAACGATACCAATGAGACTGGCGGTGCACATGCGCACCCAGCCGGCGCCTCGACTCACCACGAAAGTCCGTCAAATCAACATGATCCGACAACTGTCACCAGACGAAAATGAACCCTCGACGGAAACTGACGAGACTGATGTACCCGACCGATATCCGATCCGAGTTCATGATCGGTGGCGCCATTCTTGGCGGCGAGAACAACTGGAAATAGTTCGGAGCGAGTCCAATTGGTCGCACGCGTTCTCCTCCGTGGTGCAGGGGGAACCCCTGCTGAGGGTGTCCCGAATAGCTGACCTTTCGGAACCCCCTGCGTCCTTGTATCTCAGGACGGACCCCCTACCTGAAAGATTTACCGAGCTTAGGGGGTTGTGCGATTTATCTTTTCGACCTCCACGGCCCCTACTCACGAATGAAAAAGTCGCGATACTCCTCAAAGAGGGGGTGTCGTTTCAACCCCGAACAAGGGAATTTCGGTGGGGACCGAGGGAACTGACGCAGGCCTTTTCGGTAGAACCCTCGGCCAAACCTGAACTGGACAGTGACAGTGACATGGAAAGCGAGCCGGTGAGTCTGGCGGACAATCAACTTATTGCGACTGTCCTTTCGGCGAAAACCGACAACTCTTTGTTTGGGGCCTCACCTGATGCCAGCGCAGCGGTCCCCACGGTTACGACGACGGTCTCCCTTCCTGGGGGAACCGTAGAAATTCAGTTACCAGCCCGTGTTCCGGATGAATACAGACGCCTCCTCCTAGCGGTTATACGGGCCTATCCTGAGGTCGTCAGTATTCAGGACCACGACATAGGGCTAACCCCTTTGATACAGCATGCGATTGATACTGGGATCACGTATCGATATATTGTCGACCGTACCGATATTCCCTTAAAGAAAGACAGTTGGCGTTGGAAAGGGTACAGGTATTCGAGCGGTTGGGGTGGGTCGAACCATCATTGGGACCGTGGTCTTTTCCCGTGGTCCTCGTGCCAAAACGAAATGGTTCGGTCCGGGTATGTATCGACTACCGGAAATTGAACGCTATCACTACCAAAGATGTGTATCCCTTGCCGCAAATCGACGATTTGTTAGATGCTATCAGGGCCACGCGAGTCTTTTCCAAGTTCGATATCCGACACGGTTTTCACCATGTCGCAGTCCGACCGGAGGACCGACCCAAAACCGCTTTTGTCCTATTTTAGGGCACGTGGCAATGGGTCCGGTGTCCCATGGGAATTTGTAACGCCCCTGCAACGTTTCAGCGGGCCATGAATTTGGCCTTCGCTAAGTTCGTTAACAAAACCCGACTAACCCAGCCCCTGATCAATTTCTGCGTGATTGTGTACATGGATGATATTTTGGTCTTTTCAAAAACACACGAATACCACGTGGAACACAATTTGAGTGGGTTTTGCATGCACTAAAGGATGCGGGGTTCAAAGTGGCCTTGGAGAAAAGGGAGTTCTTCTTGTCGGAGATCTCATTCTTGGGGTACATCGTCACGGTCGATGGACTAAAACCAGATCCGAGGAAGGTGGCAGCAGTTCAAGAAGCCCCGGCGCCGGTCACACTCACCCAGGTTCGGGCTTTTCTAGGGCTGGCATCCTATTACCGACGCTTCATCAAGGGGTTCGCCGGTATAGCGAAGCCCCTCACGAACCTGCTGAAGAAAGAGGAACAGCTGATCTGGACGCCGGAATGCGAAGCGGCGTTTCAAGCGTTGAAGGAGGCTCTGACATCTGCTCCTGT